GTGTTTTTTTTTTTCAAGAATCTTGTAGCATCACTCGACACAACAATGGCCGCACAAAGCATCGTATCCGGAGCGTCCTCCAGAGGGCGCTGTCTTCCGGCGTCGCTTCCGCGCTCAAGTGCCAATCCAATATGGCGACAATATTAATCAATATTTCAACAATAATGCCGGCTGAGGGCCGCGCTCTCGACACGAGACACGAAACTTGCACGTCTCCAGTTATTCGAGAGAATTTATTGGCTATACCATTAATTTTTTTACGTCAAGTTATCAGGTGCTTTACTCTGCAGCTAAGTGTAGGTGTTGCCATGCTCAAATATTGATGAGATGACAGAAGACTTTATATGAGAACGATGATGAAAAAAAATCCGATGAGGGAGAGCCATAAACAAGAAACAGAACAGAACAGACTTTATATGTAAGTTAGTAGTTGTTATGTTTTATGTTGCTTTTAACGGGTTTTCTAAGTAGGTACACTTGAACTGAACCCAGGATATGTGCAATATAATATAATCAAAAGACTGAATAATTAAAAAAAATGCATTATGTTTTTATAGTCGAAGTAAAAATTAAATTAAGTGGCGGATACGAAAAGGGGAAAAATAATTTACCAAATTATATTACTTAACATAATTTGACACGCTTTGATTTTATAAGCAAGTAATTGCAAAATATGTTTTCCTTACTCTTATCATTTTGTAAAGTAATAAAATAAAACTGTTCTTTAGCATTAAGATATTCATTAGGACTTAAGAATCAAATTAAAAAGATATTATTGTTGAAAAACAACATTGTGAATATTAATTATTTTGAAATTTAATTGAAGGTTGAGATTTTAAGAGTATTGGATTGGTTCTCGAATACGGTAGTGCGCTTTGACGGTCAAATTTTATGGAGTATCGATGAACTGTAAAGACCGCTATCGGCTGATGTTTACGGCTTATTTGTGCGGATGTGCTTTAAATTTGATCTGATAAGGAACTAACGAACCGCCATATTGACTTTCAAAAATATACGTTACGCTCGACGGGTATAATGATCGTTGAGTTTTTGTTTTTTATAACCTCAATTTCGCAGGCGACAAATGCAATCAGCGTTTAATTAGTTACATGAATGACGTAATGGTAACATTTATTGTATGTAGTTATATTACGTTGTTATAACTGAACGAAAGCTTCGTCAAAAACAAAGGAAACGGCCAACAAGAGGAAACAATATTTCGCGCCATTTGTTCGCCGCCGCGCCGCTGCGTCGTAATTGCTCCAATCTGCGGGAAACACGCGCGCTCATCCTATTTATTTATTTACTCTGTATTTACTGAGCAACACGAGAAACACGAACGAATGCAACGTAACAACTTTGCTATACTTTTTTTTTAATTTACATTGTAATTATAATATAACGGATCTTTGTAACGTTTTTTTTATAAGAGAAGGAGTCAAACAAGCGGCGGGAACACCGAGGTGATCAACTACACCAATAGACATCTGCAACACCAGAGGAATTGTAGCTGCGTTGCCGGCCTTTATCGAATAATATTATATAAAATTAAAAATAAATACAATTAGATCTAAAATTATTTAGGGATTGTTTGACTTGACATTTCTTTGCCATGAATTATAATTTTTGAATGTATTGATAATTTAATTTTACAATGTGTTATGGCTGATTTAGTAATATTTAGACACTTCAGCAACATGACTGAATATGTTTACATATTATCGAGGATAATGATGTACAGACTGCCAGTGTCACTTATTTTTAATAGTCAACGAATTGACGTTAATACATTTTATATTTATCACATCGAAAACCTACAAATTAGATGTCAGAAACCACACGATAGTACTACATGCGATGTTATAGAACATCGGACAGACAGATTGTATATTTATTTCATTGGATTATTGTATTTTAACTATAGTATTCAGACAGTAGCATTGTCAGTGTCAGCGACGGCCGGACAAGCGGCGGTTGTTAAATATTTGTCTGCGCGCGCTAAACACGCCTGCGGGCACGGACACAGCGCTCGATAGGGTACGCATGATGCTAATGCTACGTGGGAATTTCACCCCCGTACTATTAAAACATATAGCTGACATTTTTATAAAAGTCTAACCACAAAAAATACATCCAAGTTCTTAACTTGAAAGGTTTTTTTTTTTAATTGTAACATGTAAATATAATCAAATTGGTTAAAAAAGACAATAAATAATTTTGGGAATGTTCTGTAAAGTATCGTTATGTTGGTGTCGCCAGTTGTCGGGGCAGTGATTGCCTCAATCGTGTGGGAAACACGTCGCGCGGTGGTGGCACTGTCGCTGTGTTACTCGTTGTGCTCGGCGCGTGCCTCTTCGCCACGCCGCCTGCCGCCTGCCGCCTGCCGCCTCGCCGCCTCGCCGCCTCGCCGCCTCTCTGTACCTCTACCTCTCCGCCTCTCACCACCTTTGGCTCTCGCGGCCTCTTGCCACGTCATTTTTAAGCTCTCTCAGTAATTGGGCGGAGAGGCAGGGCGGCTGCTTATGGATGTAAGACACACGACTGATGAGTTATCTTGAATCGATATGATATTGTCCATTTAATTGACAAGTTAATTGTGCGTACATGAATTTTAGGTGTTTTCGTAGAATTAATATCAATATCTTTGTTTCTTATATAAATTCGAATAAGCATTAAATCATGATATTTTCGTTCAATAAATTTGCGTGTTTTTTCTACTCAGCTCGCTTGATTTTCAGAGTTCTGTCCACTCTAATAGCGTTAAATGTCGCTCGTGCTGAAATCACTGTTGATTTAATTGATAACGGAGATGATATAACTTTAGTTTATTATAATTTTATGGCCACATACATATAAGTTAGACCAATATTTAGTAAAAGCGCGCTTCGGAACTCGTCTTTTGAATAACATTTTAACGATATTAGCGAGCAGGGTGGAGGGGATAGAATCCCATAAGTTTACTACGTTATTTTTCGTCGTTTTATGGGTTTTATTAATTTTCACTTAGCATTATATTGTCATAAAATTTTATTACTATATTTTTATTTGCACACGTGTGTGATATATAATGTAGGTTAATGCTAAAAACTTTATGCTCGTTTTATTTTATATCTATCTTATATTCACGTCTTTATTTAATTTTCAAGGCAGTAGTGACCGGCCGGCTAGATCAAAGACATCAGTCTCTAGAGAACTAATACTAAAAGCCTCTCATTCTCATCTTTTTGTCATGTTGATAGCTCTACCACCAATTCTCTACTTTTATAGTAACTTATATAATAACTCTACGGTTTGAGCTATAATCCAGATGCAACCTATTAACACAAACTAGCTACGCCGTAGAGCTACCTAAGTTCTACATAAATGACAAGAAACAGAAGAACCTCGTTTAAGATTTATATATTCAAAAAGAGTAAAAAACATTCCTATTTGAAAACTAAAATGTTATTTCAAGTATCTTACTCTAAAATTATGTTAAAATAAATTTAAAAGCTAAAGCTACAAATGAAATTGGATTTGAATATATTATTTAATCTTATTTACCCAAGTTAGATATTATTTGAATCAGAGTTTCATATTGTACGAATAACTTTGTTATAAGTTGTATTGTTTCATATAACAAAGGCATATAACAAGTAGTATACGTGGGCGTGCCGGCGCGTAGGCGGGGCTTTGCCGCAGGGGACTTTACTATTTGATGTGCGATGTTAACTTTAAACGGATTTATACACGTCGTCATCGGTTAATATTTTGCAAACCATGAACGTGTTTGTTTCTGGAAAACTTGCGATTTATCAGAATAATTTTATTTATGATGCATGCACTTCAAAGGTAGTAAAAAATGTTTTTCTTAGCAGTAAGATCATCAAGTTTCATGCCTACGTACTCCCTGTTCAATAATGTATGTTTCTATATACCCTATGCTTAAGCATGTAAGTAAGTAAGTGAGTGAGTGAGTGAGTGAGTGAGTGAGTGAGTGAGTGAGTAAGTAAGTAAGTAAGTAATTAAGTGAGTAAGTAAGTAAGCATGATGACAATTATCTTTTATTATCATAATAAACTTCCTTCAGGTAATGATTAATTCTGTACTCATCACTATATTCGTCTACCACGTTTCGTCGTTTAATTTTCCGTGGGTATGACAGTTGTTTTTAAGGTTTTTAAAGTTGTAACTTGAATACATTTTTTAAATTCCCTTGACTTTATTCTTTCTTATGTCTTTAGTTTTCTTATTAAATTTTCTACGAAGAGTCAAGATAGAAGTTGAATCTAACTGCTATTTTAGTTGCGGATAACACTGTTTATTTATCATCAACCTTTTCATTCTCCTAGTGGGACGACTAGAAGGTGTTAAGTTGCCTGGCCAATGTTTTTATTTTATTTTTTGGTACCAATTTCGGCACATTTTCTAGTCTAATTGTCGTTTAACTACAAATCCTAATAAAAACATAATTTTATATACCAAACGTCCTATTATATATTCATGTAGGTATCTTACATTATTACGTACAATCATTTTTATTTATTCATAAATAAAACAGTTAATGTTAGTTAATAATTTATTAGCCCCACATGCTTAGACTATTTTAAAAACAAAATTAACATGACTACATAATTGTTGGGACGTTTATTATATCGTAACGAGCCACACTTCATAAATTAAATTAAACAACGCGCAGAGAATCCGCTAAAAATGTTTACTGCCTCGAAACAAAACATGTCGCCTCACCTCACCTCACCTCACCTCGCGCACTACTTCACTTTTTATCGCGCAGCCTCAACCGGTCCTTGAAAAAAGGCGAACAGACCGATTCGCAAACTTATATAGTGTCCGGTTGTTGCACAATAATCTCTAAAGCGAGGGGTTAAGGTCTACGCCGGTCGTACCATAGCATCTCTCGAGGGATACGCGGAGGCAGCGGCGCGAGGAGGGGTCACGGCGCTGGGCGGCGACTGAAGGCGGGGCCTGTGCGGAGCGCGGCGCACTCAGTCCGCAGCGCGCGGCTCGCCATGCCGCACTATGACGCCGCCGCACAGCTTCGCCATCCGCGACCTGCTGCCCGAGGCATCCTCCCCCGTACCCTCGCCCTCGCCTCCCGTCTCGCCCGCGCCCTCCGACACCGAGCTCGACGTCACCGGCACCGGTACGCCACCGCCTGGCGTCTCCGCCAGCGCCGGCGGGCCCGACCGCGCCAAGAGCGAAAAACCCGCCTACAGCTACAACGCCCTCATCATGATGGCCATCCGCAGCAGCCCCGAGAAACGGCTCACGCTCAACGGCATCTACGAGTATATCATGAAAAATTTTCCATACTACAAGGAAAATAAGCAGGGCTGGCAGAACTCCATCAGGCACAACCTGAGTCTCAATAAGTGCTTTGTGAAGGTGCCGCGCCACTACGACGACCCCGGCAAAGGCAACTACTGGATGCTAGACCCTTCCTCGGACGACGTGTTTATCGGGGGAACGACAGGCAAGCTGCGCCGGCGCAGTACGGCCGCTTCGCGGTCGCGGTTGGCGGCGTTCAAGCGCGGCGCCATCCTGCACCCGATGTTCGGCAACCCGTACGCCTCGCTGGTGGGCCTGTACCCACCGCTGCTGTCGGTGTACGGGCGTTACGCGCTGCCGGCGCCGCTGCTGCGCCTGCCGCCACCGCCCCCCGCCGCTGCATACCACCAGCTGTACCGGCGGCTGCACGGCCTGGCGCCGCAGCACAGCCCGCCGCATGCGCCGCATGACCCCCGCGAGCCCGACCCCCACATCCTGAAGCATAGTTGATAGAAGCAGTGGCTCAGCCCGTTTCGAAGGTATTCCCGCGATATCTCCCCGAAGACGTGCGCGCGCCGCGACCGCGACGACCGCGACGCGGCGACCAAGACTGTGATACGAGTGAACGTAAACGACCGAGTGTAGGACGCGCGGCGACAACCGCCGCCCTGTCGCCGCCCTGTCGCCGCTACTCTCTCTATTTATTTATCGCCGTAAGAATTTATTTAATATATAAATATAATTTAACTTTAAGAGGCTAGTTTAAGTTATATTGGACGCAATAAATGTTTCGAGCAGTTTGCTTAAAAAAATGTGTTTATTTAACCCCTATTTCGTAGATGAAGAGAAGTTGATGCATTGGAAAACGTAAAAGAACAAGGATTTAGATTGTGTTAAAAGCAATTAGAGTAATTGTATAATATATTCTATTCAATACATTATGACAAAAACTTTAATATAAAAATAAGAGAAGTGTTTGCAGTAAGCTTCTTACAAAGGTTTTTTATTTACTTAAAAAATAAATGTTTGCAATAAAAGGTTTCATTTGTTACAGTAAGCTTTTAGCATATTAGATTCGAATTGCTGTTTGTACAGATAGGAATCCTTCAACGTTTTATTATCAGTTTTGCTCAAATCTAAATAATTTGATTAGAAACTTCATGAGAGCGACAAAAATGTGGACATCAAATATACCCTTTGATACGTTTTGAATGGAAGTAACGATTGAATGAACTATTCAGGACTCTTCTTCACTAGATATAAGTTTTGTATTCTTACATGTTTGTCATGTTATCAGTGGATACAGAAACGTCTTGGAACTAACTAATCTTCAAAACAAGAGTCGCAAACATTGTTACATTATCGAGTTAAAATATTTTAGTCGTTTCTTGTTTACTTTTAAAAATAAAACTTGCAACAGAGACGTTACATATGTTCGAGATTAAGGATATTATAATAAATAAAACGCGCTTCGGTTGTGGCGATACAATTATCTAAATATTTATTGCAGAGGAAAGCGACGGCTGGCTGCTTGCTGGCGGCCGCTGCCAACAAAAACACACCGCAAGTAACGCGACACTCGCATGATCCGCTAAGCCCCGCCATCTCTCATTCGACACAAAACATCTTGCGTCTAGAAATATTGTGAAAAGCTGCACCGGCCGCGCCTACCAATAAATCACTGCGACATTTTGTTTCAACGTTCGCGCGCTTTTTCCTAACCACAGACAATTAAATGGCGACGTCGGAGCATAAACAAGCGGCGCGTTAATCCGCAGATTATCGAGCCAGACGCGGCCGGCGTGCGACAAGTATTCCGCCTAAATAATTGTAAATCTACGTCAAAACGTAACAACGAATACATATGTTAGGATTACGGGACAGATTAACCCGTTTCAATCTGTTTTATGTGACTGCGTTCGGAAAGCAACGCGCCTCGTCGACTGTCGACTTCCCGTCGAATCGACTGGAGTTAATCTCACGTTAAATATGGGAACATTGTGCATTCGGTTATCGCGCTAAATGCTTTTCACTTTGTGTTTTTTGTTACGGTTTAGGGAAGGCGTTGACAAACATCACACTAAAATAGTCAATGGCTTAACGAGAATGACGATTATGTCGAATTGTTTTTGTACAAGGTAATATTATTCAAACAGTGTAAGATTATGCTAAGGTCTTCATTTTAGATTGTAGGCAAACAGGAGTGGCATTTTTGATTAGTTATAACTTTCTCTTTTAACTAATTTAACATCAGATTGCTTGTGCTAACATTGTGTCCGGGTATTGTGCCATGTTCGATATTTTCTTTTATTGTCATAAAAATATTTTTTGCGATATCAGGTCCGAAATCCATATCCATTTTAAATTGCAAATCTGTATTTATAATTTAAAAATATTATAATCCCGAAAGGGTATTGAATGCTCTGTCAACTAATCTGCTTATAAAAACTACACTAAATCGTCGTACACAAGCAGTTTGGGTACAATTGCTAATGTTTAGTGTACGCCGTTGTGCGTCCGTTTGTCTGTTTGTCCACATTTAGTGAATTCAATACTACGTATGTTTATTTGGACACATTTCGCGAATGAATCCTTTGAGCCGGATGTTTATGGGACATTGTCGTCGCTGAATGGGTTGTCGAATTATATATTATTAAGGAAAAATTGTTCTTAAATTCGCATGATCGAGCACACTTCTATTCTATCTTTTCTATAATGAAAAGGAAATGAATTTTGTGTCATTTGAATGGAAACATATTATAGATTATCATATTAGTATTTTCTCCTTTAGAAATTGCTTATGGTGACATAAATAGCTGTCTTTGTCACGAAATTACTTCCGTTTTTGTTGAACTTACGAATAAAGAGGAATTATAGTATAGAGAGTTTCCTATTTAATGTATTTGAGCTAAATTTTACAAAATGATTTTGAATACTGCTAATGTATAACACGGACACGAAAACAATGCTAAGTGAGAAATTCTAAAAACAAAAACTAAAAGTTAATTTTACTTTTGTTTTTAATTAAATCATCATTAAATTCTTTGACAAACGATAACATCAACCCAAATAGTTTTAGTAAATATTTCTTTAGGAAATAAATATAAAATCCGTCGCGAAGTTTGTCGTTCTCAAAATGAATTAATCCGGCAAGTCGTTAATTTCACAATAATTACATGGTTTGCTACAAAATAGTTGTTTTATATTTACGTCGTTTGGTCTGCAGCCAGCTCTGACTCAACGAGATGGTATCTTCATTTGATAACTTCTGTAAATAAATGTATTTGTTTTTAATTTGTAAATAAAGATGTGTAGCAGTAATTAGACATTTAGTAACACGTGAAGAATGAACTTTGAATTGTTTAATTGTATCATGTTACTCGATGAGAGAAAAATTTTATATGAAAATAACAAATCTAGTTAATATGACAATCTATATGATTAATAAGTCTGGAATGGTGACTTTATTTTTCTGTAATTTAATTCATACAGTGAATATGATGTAAGTATTACAAGCAGATAAAGGTTGTCTGCATATCTCTGATTACTTCTTAATTAATTTAGCGGTGTTTCTTTGGCACTTGAGGGTTGGTTCCTGGGCAGGGCAGGTGGTTTTAGAGATCAGAGGATGTGGCTCTTTGTTATGTTTGAGTGCTTGTGTTCGCCCGACTCTATTTGTATTCTTGTTCATTACGCTAATGTAACCGGGATAGGGTGGCCATGATATTTTCATGTGAAGTAAGGATAAGTTAAAAAGTAGAATTCATAGTGCAAATTCGAGAGAGTTGGCATGTAACACAGAAATTGAACTCAAGTTATCAGACGTCGTTCAGATAAGAGTATGAGATCAAGTAACGGTGAATTATGTAGTAATTATTTGATACATTGTTTTGTACAGTTTGAATGTAAGTATTGACTTTTCAGCAAAGTAGTAAGTGGATGTTCGCAGCATATTCTATTGTTTTTTTTTGTAATTGTAATAGCAATGCTGTATAATGGATTTATCCTGATGTATCGATGACGATGGTGACCGCATCGCGCACTGCACACAATCGGCGCGGGAGTGCGTTGTTTATAAAACAATTTGAGCGCCTTATGAACTCTTTGCGTCCCCCCGCCCCCGCTCTCAACCCCGCTCCCCGCCGCCTCCAGTGATGCTGTATTTCATAACATTTTAGCGTCCGCCTTCACCTCCACGAACTGTTTGTTTGTTTCACAGAAAATAATACTGCTTTGAGACTGATTCAACTTGCAAGGAATTTAAAATCAGACTCTCAGACTTAGTTGTGATAAGTCTAGTAGTTATTTTAGCTTTGGACCAAAGACCTTTCACCTACAAAAAAGGAAGCTGAGCAGTAATGCCGGGGTGTATCCCGATCTCACAATATGATCTATGAATAGCAAATTGAGAACAAATCATATCTTCGTTATTTCTTTTATTTCTAAGATTGCTCCTTCCCTAAAAAACCTTGCAATTATTGCCGATATCTTTGGGGATGAAACTACAACATTTAACAGGACGTCTATCTTACTTATATTAATAAATTTTAGGTTATAGGTATACCTGTAAAGCGACCATCTTTAGTTATTTTAGACTTAAGACACAGTAGTGTACTTTAAACTTTTATTTATAAGAAGTTAGGATGCAGATAGTGTTGAGATTCAGACTTTCAGTTTCAGGAAGGACGCGGTTACAGCTTTCATCGGTAAACTTGTTTACTGTAATTTTTAACAAACCGCGTTTAACGAGAACCAGCGACGGCGGCAACATCAAAGCGCAACAATTGCCGGATCAAAGCGGCCGCCGCGGTGTAGCAATGCTCACTGCGCTAATAGAGATTTATCTAGACCGTAACATCAACTCAAAGTTTGTCTATCGCTAGTTTATAAATAATCTTTATCTAACATACTTTCATTAAAATCACAAAAATTATCATCAACATCGTTTTCATTTTAAACATTACTAAGATTTATATCCATTTGTCATGAATCTTGCACTAACTGTAGGTTTCTAAGACAATCTCCGTTTAAAACATATTGTTATATCTATTTTCTCAAAGATAATGACAGGGATGATGATATTCTATACAGAGTTTCAGTATCAGAAACCGACGGTAAGATCATGAAATATTGTCTGCATCTGCATGCCTTTAGAGTAAGGAGGATATACTGAAGAGAATAAAACAAATAGAGGCAGTCACTTTCGAAAAAAAACAGAGCTATGAAATCAAATTCTATAATATCAAAAACATTGGTTTAATAGTAATAGTACTGAGATGTATTATTATTATCATTCGTCTCCCTCAAGCAGATTAACATCTAAACGTTATGCAAGGGCGGGCTTGTTTGCTTTTTTTCTATATTACGTAAATTCTAAGGAATAACGCATGTAAACAAATATTTTTTTCCGCAAGAATAGAGAAGAAATCAGATCGTATAACATTGTTTGGTGTAATTATGGTATCGTTTAACTCGGGGCTTTGTATTTCAAATGTTTTTAAAATATTTGCTCTCGGGAACAATCGTTTGTAATAGGATACTTTCTGGCCAACTATTTAGTGTAATTAAAAGCAGAAATGGATAAGGTGCTCTCTCAGGTAGAGGTCTTTACGCAACAAAACAATAGAAACAAGTAAAAGTTAAATCAGTGTAAGAAATATTTATACAAATTCTTTCTTACAGTCCTTACAAGTGGAGATAATAGTTAAGAATATTTTCATTAAAAGTAAATGCAAGTAGAAACACTATCTAGCTTACTAATATTATATTGAATAA